CCATCCATCCATCATCTTTTACCCGCTTCTTCCATTTTGGGTCACGGGGGTCGCCGGTGCCCATGTCCAGCCATCACAGTGCGAGGGGCAGGGTACACCCTGGACAGGTCGCAAGTCCATCACAGGGCCACACGGAGACAAACGAGACAAACAACCATTCACTCTCTCACTCACACCTAGGGACAATTTAGAGTTACCAATCAGCCTAACATGCATGTTTTTGGTCTGTGGGAGGAAACCGGAGTACCCGGAGAAAACACACGCATGCACGGAGAGAACATGCAAACTCCACCCAGAAAGGCCTACAAGCCAAACAGTAACATAAAATTATTTTCTGTTCTATTCGCTTTCCTACATACCTGAATGTATGTGACGACTTCTGTTGTGACTTGGCGCTATAATAAAGAAAATGAATTGAATTGAAAATATATTGGCAAGTGAAAACACTACTGTATTGTAAATAGTCTGTCCTTATCAATGTTCCAATACATATTGAACATTATTAATGATATTGTTTATCGTATTTATTTATATATTGTTTTTAACATTAGGAACTTTTCGTGTGAATCTTTTTATCTGTTGCTGCTGTTACACTGAATTCCCCATCCGTGGGACAATAAAGGCTGCTTCTATTCTATTCTATTCTATTCTGTTCTAAAATATGCTATTAATATGCAATAAACAACATTAAAAAAAAAACAAATTCATCAAAAAACATGTTTTGTAAGTCAATTTGTTTTTCATTGTCGTATTTTATTTTGAAGAGGCAAGTCTTTCGTCGGGTTAGTTTGGACCAATAAGAGGTGAATGCGGCGGTTGACGTCAGACGCAGGGGGTGTGCGTCGTGCGTAGCTCCGCCCCCTCCGCCTCAGTTGTAGCCAGTTGACTGTACTGCCTGAGCGCCGCTGGAAGTTCCTCCCAGCTCACAGAGCGAGCAGGCGAACTCAACAGGGGGTTGGAACCGACCGGACCGGCGGGTGGAAAGTTGATAGTGAACCGTACTAGTAGGTTCGGGGAGTTCCTCAGAACCAGCAGATTTGCCGACGCGAAGAAGAAGAAGAGAAACAAGAGTCGGAGTGTCGCTGACAGACGCTAGCTGAGTTTGTTGGGAGGCGCGTGCGGGGTTAGCTGAAAACGGAGGGAAAAGGTGGGAAAGGTGAGGCTGGAAGCGTCGCCAGGTGAAGCGACACGGGTTAGCCCCGCGGCAGACAACCTCCACAGGCAGCGGGTCATGCGGATTTCTCCGGCCGCGGATCGCAGCGGCGCGTCGCGGAGGTAAAGCGGCAGAAGAAGGAGGCGAACCCAGCGAGACCCAGGAGGCGCTCCGCCGCTCCGCGAGCCCGTCCGAACCGGAGGAGGAGCGGCAGCATGTCCCGGAGGAAGCAGAGCAAACCCCGTCAGATAAAGCGTAAGAACCACTCAAGTTCATGACTTTAAGTCGGTTGTTGTCTGAGCTGGAACTCTGAAAAGACGCAGATTTGTAGGTCACGTTCAGGACCTTTGTCCTTTTTAAACTTCATCAGCCAGGAGGACCTGTCCTAACCTTACATTCATCAGACAGAAAGTTGACATTTCTTCAGGTTGTTGTGTTTGTGAGCTCCGGCTTCCTGTTTAATTCTGCTGTGGAAACGTCAGGCTTCTCTGAAAAGCTGATGAGGAGAGATAAAGCAGATGTGAGCTGAGATAAAGAGTCAAATTGGATCTTTTCTTATTTGTTTTCTGTCTGAGCCCCCCCCTCAGAGATGGGGGCTGCAGATAGGTCTGCATGGCTGATCTGTGCTGCTGATTTCTGCTCACAATTGGATCAGCTTTTTCATCTTTTAACTCAATACTGCATCTTTGGAGCTGCTTGAAAGGCCCTTTTCTCCGGTTCTGGAGCTGGGCTCGGAGCCTCACGAGCTCTCCCTGTTCACAAAACGTGAGAATTTTTATCAGGTGCTAACCTGATGCTGGGAGCTGATAGAGGAGCTGCAGATTAATAATGTTGTGCTGTTAAAGACAGGCCACAGAGCTGGAAGGTTCTGTTATCAGTCTGTTTGGCTTTTCCCCTGCTCATTGTGTCACCCTGTCCTCACAAACCTCCTGCCTGCTGGCAACATTTGGGAGTTTAGTCTGCATCATATCACCTCAGAAAAATGTTCTGGAGGTCTAGTTTGGGCCTGTGATCCTCAGGTGGGTCAGACAGGTTAAGATCTTACTTTCTAATAGAAGATTAATGTAAAACAGAAAGTTAAGTAAATATACCTGCGTCCTGCGGTAAATGTAGAGCGGTGGATTAAATACTCTTGGGTTAGAATAAGGTGACTGGTGTTTGTGATAACTTTTATTTGAGATGATCCTGCAGGAAGCTGTAGTGTTTTGTAACCAAAAAAAAAAAATAACATTTCCGTTGTCCTCAGAAAAAATAAAATGAGTCCGTCTGGTTAATGTCTGCTGCCGTTCCACGTCTGAACCTGTTCAGTTTCCTGTCATGTGACAACAATGTATCAGTACGGTAGAAAATGTTTTTATGTAAAAGGATCCTGACACTTTAATTAGCACCTGTAGGAGTGACCTCACCTCATGAAACACACGGCTTTAATAATGAAAAATATATAAATTATTTGAATTGTGTATATTTCAGCTGTCAGAATGATTTGATGTAGTTCTGGACGTGGTTTGAATCAAACTAAACACTTAAAGAAGCTGTCATGTTCTCCGCAGGCGTTTAAAAACAGCATCAGTTTTATGCGCCGTCATGTTTTGTATCCAGATGTTTTGAGTAGACGAGGTGTATTACTTTGAGAGTGAAATAAAAACAACAACAACAACAACGTGCGGTTAATTACCAGGATTATCTTGTTGTTTCAGTTTGTCGCCATCCAAATGGTAAAGCTCCTGGATTCAGAGCCCTGAAATCATCTGGACCACTTTCAGTTTGGTTTTAGGTTGCGCCAAAACCCGTCAGGATCCCCACGCAGAATCATCAGTTCTTATGTTTGAAACTGCAGGTTCGGCACTCGGCAGCCCGCCAAAATGCAGTTCTGTATTTATGTATTTGGACCATTTCCAGTACGATTTGTTTAATTCTTAATGACACAGCAGAACAAAATGAAAGCAGCATTTCTTTATGATTCATGTCAGCTGAGCCACAGCCCGACAGGACGGGTTTGTTAAATACTAAAGAAAACAAAATTCAAGGAAGAATGCATATCACTCACTGGCAGGTCAAAGTTTGTGCGATCTGTCCACTCTCAGAGTCTTTGTTGGAGATGACTCTCAGCTACTACCACACCAATTTTCAGCCGAATATCAGTAAAATCAACAGAATTATTGTCGTGTTTGAGGTGGATTAGTTGTTTTATCCAGAGGTAAGGACCACGCTGCCTGTGAGGGGTCACATCAGTTCCGTTGGAGGTCCGACAGCTCGGCTCTTGACGGACTGATGAACGTATGAGGTCCAAACCACTTCTGAAAATGTTTTCACACTGAGAAAATTCCAACCTGTTTTCAGATGTTCAGGATCAGACATGGGCCCAGACTCCAGAGTTGAAGAATCCGTCCAGAGGATCCGACTCAACCTTATTAGACTCCAGAGTTAGTTTCTCTCAGCCGAACTAAAAAAAACAACAAGCCTGAAAAAGTTCTAGTTCGGTTTAACTTGGCCGTCATGAATCTGCTGAACGAGCAGTTTTACTGATGAAGAAGGCGGAGCTTCTTTCTATGCAGACAACGCTTTAGTTCTGATTTAGGATCATTGATGGTTCTGTAAATCCACTGGCAGCATTCTGGTTGGGTCACTTCCTGTTTACTTGTTTTTGAGTGGTGATGAACTCCCACTGGGACCGAGGCCCGCAAATGGGTTCTAGACCCAGAGGTCGATAAACTCAGCATGCACAAGAACGTGCACATCTCTGGAGCGCTGCAGCTGTCTTTATCAGCGGCTCTGGTCCGCCATGCCTCCCCCTGCATCGGGCCGGGCTGAGGATGAGAAGGGCCCGGCTCTCAGCCCCGTGACTCTCTTGTGATTCGGCAGACATTTTGATATGAAGAAGAAGTGAGGCGAGATAAGGACTCTGTTGGACTGCGATGTGTTGGTGGTGGTGGTGGTGGTGGTGGTGGTGGGGTTCAGCAGTTTGTATGACCCATTCCAGGCAGGTCACAGTACCGTTGTTAGTCCTCTTGTTGATGGATTCTGTTCAGGTCTGAGTTCTGTTTCACATGTAAACCTGAAGGAAGTTCTGCTGTGAGATTCCTCAAAAATTTTAACGAAAGGTTTTCAGCTTCACTGTTAAAATGAAGTCCTCAAACTTCCGGAGTCTGATCTGACGGAGTCGGACCACCGGAGTCTGATAGCTACCTGAAATAGTGCTAGCTTTAGCACAGTGGGTGGAGAGGTAGTCTTCTAATGGCGTGGGTTAGATCCCAGTCTCTGCATTGTGCTGAAGTGTCCTTAAGCAAGGCACTGAACCTGTAACTGGCTTTCTGATGTCAGAGTTAGTTAGAAAGATGTATTGATTAGAATATTTAATGGAAAGCTGTGTTCCGGCATTTATGAGGAACATTAAGCTCTGCAGAACCCAGAGAGGTGTGTGTTAACGTCGTACTACTCAAAAGTTAAAACTAACAAAAAGTAGCTAAAAGCTAAAACCTGCTCAATGGGATTTACCTGTATAAGTAAAGGTTGATTGATTGATTGATAAAAAAAGATACACCTGTAGCAGAGTTTAAAAATGTTTTCCCCAATATTTGATGAGATCATCATGTATTTTTTGAGACAGTTAAATAATTTAAAAGCAAGGCACGTCTTGTCCTGAACTAGCCGAAGCTTTTGATATCTGTACAATTAAAATAGCTAAAGTAGCTAAAGTTATAGTCTACAAGCGTATGAAAGAAAGTGTAAACAAAAAACTGGTAAGAATGCTGACTCAGCAATTTTGTCCTTTACCTTTGACCTGCTCACAGGTGTGTACGCAGGTGGGTTAGGGGGTGGGTGTGGCTTCATTGGGGGTGGGGGGTGTTTTAGCTGAAAACTTTGATTGACTGTTTTTAACTCTTTCAGAATCACCTGTTGGAGATTAATATTTTTGAAACTTTGAAGCGCTTCATTACAAAATGTTGAAGAAAACTTCCCAAATGCTTTTGCTTAACTAGAGAAACAGCTGAAGTGTTTTGGTTTCTACAATAAAAGCTCGAAGTGTGTTTGTTTACTTACATAAATAGCTAAAGTGCATTTGTTTTTCTTCAGAAACAGTCAAAGTGTATGTTTACCTACAGAAACAGCTAAAGTGTATTAGTTTACGTGCAGAAACAGCCAAAGTGTGCTTGTTTACGTGCACAAACAGCCAGTGTTTGTTTACCTACAAAAACAGCCACACTGTGTTTGTTTACTTGCAGAAACAGCCAAAGTGTGTTTGTTTACCTACAGCAAAAGCTGAAGTGTGTTTGTTTACCTACAGTAACTGCCAACATGTGTTTGTTTACCTA